AGGTGAAAGAGTAAACTTTGTAAAATTTAGAAGAGTCATCACATAAATTGGAGCTGAAGCAAGAGAAAATGGCGCCCTGAAGCCTAGGGCTGTGGGAGGGAAACATCAATGACAAAGGGGATGGTGAAGGATATCTAATATAACTGAGAAGTCAAAAAGTTGTGGCTGAGAAGTCATCCAAGTTAATAGTAAACACTGAACATGAGAAACAGGCTAACAGATGACCTAGGAAGTGGAGGTCACATTTCAACTTAAGATTCTCTGAAAACGGAGAAATCTATTGATATTGGCCTACTGCATTTCAAAGGACCTGGAGTTTTATGAATTTACACACCTTGCTGGTGTCCCCTACACTTCCTCGTTCTCTAGCCTTTAACCAGGAGAACTTATGCAGGTAGTAGACAAGAATACGATACCTAAGTCCAAAAGGATCACTAAGAAACTAAAACCAGGTTTAAATTATAGATAAGTTTTAGATGATGGCATTCTCCAGCATTGCCTGGAGAAGTATATAGAATCAATGTGTCAAGTCAGCATTCCCTGGAACAAATGTGTATTAGATGGTCTTCCCATATAACATTAATTGTACAGTTGGGCCAAGCATGGCATGAACTTTTCTTAAGTGGTTTTGCTAAATTTTCTTTATGCCTCTTTTTATCCTTTTTTAGACTTTCCTGAATATTGTTTGGCTTGTCTTTTTTTTTTTTTTCCCAAATAAAAATAATAATAACCTACATTGCTGAGTTCTAAAATTTGCCCTAACCATGCACTGAAGTTGGCCAGTCTCTTCAGCTGGTTCTTCTTAACCTGGAAATTACTTATTATAATAAAGAAGATGACTCAATCCCTTTAAAAAGCCTTAAAAATGTCATCTCTATTTCTAGGCTTCAATCACACACTTCTAGCTGATTATGGGAATGTGCTAACACGATTTGAAATTCTAGCATTTTCATCAAAATTATCAGTAGGTCTCATTCTTGGTCACTCAAAAAACTTAAAAAACCTAAGGGAAATGAACATTTCAATAAATCTAATACATTGGAGCATTTGGAGCTTTATTATGTCCTTTATTATGGAAATAATAAAGCTTTATTATGGAAAGTGAGGAACAGCAATTTTCTAGTATGAATGGTCTTACTGGATGGGGTAAAAAAGCAAGTGACAGAAGGAATCTTAATATGGGGCTCCTGGGTGGCTTAGTCAGTTAAGCATCTGTACAGAGTCTGCTTAGGATTCTCTCTTTCCCTCTGTCTCTGCCCTCCCCATATTATTTTCTCTCCTTCCTCTCTCTCTCAAAATAAATAAAAACACATTTTTAAAAAAGAGCTCTTATGATCCAGGCTTGTTCTGTTTTCATGCTAGAGTCTCTTTCTCAAAAAAAAAAAAAAAAGTATATATACACATGCACATATATATGTGTATGTATGTGTGGCTGGGGTGTTGAATTGCAGTCTATGGGCTCCTACAGAAGAATCATTTTATGAGCTTCAGATATTTTTGAATCCCATAAAATCAAAAGGTTAGTTACTGATCTAAAGTGTACCAAAAAAGTCAACATTTATAAAGTTAAAAAAATTCAATGTATTTAAGTCCTTTTTTAGTGATGCATTTCTGATCTTCAAATTCTTTCTTTTTCATTCTTTTTTTTTTAACGTTTATTTATTTTTGAGACAGAGAGAGACAGAGCATGAACAGGGGAGGGTCAGAGAGAGAGGGAGACACAGAATTGGAAATAGGCTCCAGGCTCTGAGCTGTCAGCACAGAGCCTGACACGGGGCTCGAACTCACAGACCGTGAGATCATGACCTGAGCCGAAGTCGGACGCTTAACTGACTGAGCCACCCAGGCGCCCCTGATCTTTAAATTCTTATAGTTAAAAGTGTTGCACTTTATATCTCAGAGCAATAATTATTAATTTTATAGACTGAGTTGAAGTCAGCCTTGAAGGAAAAAAAACCCAACAAGATGGCATTTACTCAAAACTAGTTCTAACTTAGAATAATTCTTAGCTATAGACAAAGTTTAGAATATGACACTGGAATGAGAAAAGGTGATGATAAACTAGGACAAGGTCAAGTTTTACTTGAATAACGGCTTGAGTTATGATGCTTAATGCAGTGGATTGACGATAGTCTGTACTCTTTCTCTTTATTGGCAAAAGGTTTTTGGAAAAAGTCTTAGGTCATATGTTCTGAAAAATGGCCAAAATGCCTATTTAAACAACAACAACAACAACAAAAAAAAACAGAAGTGCAACTTCTTGGTACAGATGTAATTTACCAGTTGCTAATGGAAACATATAAAATATATTTCAAAGTTATATACTGAATATTAAACTTTAGAATTCAGGGTTACATATTCTGGTATCCACTGTCTACACCAGGTGGGTCAGTCACTCCCATAATGCCCTTTTTCCCACCCTTGATAAACATTTATGCATTCTGTTTAACCACACACTTAGAATGCCCCTAATTTAACTTTGACCTTCATCCTGTTTTACTTTTTTTTTTGAAGGTTTTGACTACACAAGTATCACAGTATAAATACAGTCAAATAGTACAAGAAAAACCAATTTAAATATATATACTTTAAAAATTCTTAAGAAAGAATAAATGACATAAAAGAAAATACCACTTGTATACTACTTGTTTGAAATAACACGCTTAGCCACTAGATGTCACCCTTTAAAAAAGCAACAGAGTTTACTTCCCAACGTTTGCTACATCAATTGCTGTTACATTCCACTATTGGGTGGAAGTTGGCACCGTTGGAATTAGTCATTCTGACATGATGTAAAAAGAAGCTTTAACAACAAACAGGGTTTCCTGTAAAGAGGGCTTCATGAGTCAAGCCTGATTTGAGTCTTTGGAGACCAAAGCCGGATGGTTAAAATGCCACAAGAGATAATAACATATAATTTTCAAAATGTTAAAAGCATGTCTCTCCTATAAGTATGAAGTGAAGATCAATAAAGATCTCATTCAACTCATTAATTAGCGAGGAACCAGTCAGACGGTAAGGAATGTAAGGCCTGTAAAAGAGCATTCAAGGAATGGAAACTTACACAGCTTTTCAAAGGCCTGCTGAAACGAACTTGGTAACAGACACAAAACTGTGCCATGTTCTACAAATTACAAGCCACAGACTCTGAGGTTATGTTTTCTATTTGAGAGAAATTATCTCTGCTAGTCAGAAGTCTAAGAGGTGACATACAACTTCACAGTGAAGCGACAAAGTATTTAGCCTAGATGTATGGACAACATGTAATTCTTTCACAATTGTGCTTAGTGCTTTACATGCACCGTCTCATTTTATTCTCAGAATCATTGCTTATGAGGTAGATGCTGATATTATCTTTATATAGAGGCTAGAACACTGAGAGGTCAAGGAACATTCTTCAGGTTATGGACCAGCGAGTGATCATGCTGGAATGTGAATTTGGCCTGTCTATACAGTCTTTCTCCTGGGACCAAAGATGTAACAATTAGAGTGGTCTAGAGGATGTTGGGATTCTACAAGACGAAGTGCATGTGAGCACACTATGACGGCTTCGACCCCTCCTGTTTCTCATCCATGAAGGACAAATAGTGACAAAAGAAATTTCAAGTGCAACAGACATGTGCTGTAAGATCAGAGCTTAGCTGCTAACGCTTAAATTCTTGAAAATTTGTGTAGATTACTTAACATATCCCTCACCAACCCACCAGCTTGTCTTTGGATTGGTATGATACACCAGATCCTCTATTACAATTTAATTAAGTGGAGAGTGGGAAATGATCAGAGTAGTGAGTCTCCACACAAAAGCAAGCAGTATCTTATATACTGTCTACAGGGAAACCAATTATGTTAGGTAAAACACTATCAATGGGTTTTGCTAAAAATGCAAAAGAGACCATTTAAAATATGCATAGTATTCCTGTAACATAATAATGCTTTATATTCTTTTCAGAGAATTTGGGACATGGGGAGAAATCTAATATACTGACAATATATTTGGGGAAGACATCTGCCTGACAAAATACCTGTCTAAAGAAAACGCTCTATTTAATTTTAAAACTTTAAAATCTTGAAGAAATTTTAGACATGATTAAATGAACTGTAGAAAATCATCTTCAATTTCTTGGATTTATATGCATAGAACCTCAGAAATGTGAGGTGCTCCAAGTTTTATTACTAATTCAGCTTCAATTCTTGTAAAGATTACACCACTCAGCTAGTGGCTGAGAGGATTCAGAAAACTAATCAAACATTATTATATTACCTATTATGAGTCTAGACAGTCTCCTCATCACACATACTTTGATACAAAACTCTGAAAGGAGTTTTTTCAGAAAATTATTTCTTTATCTCCATACAGATAAAAACAAACTTACAAGTTCCCTAGTCAAATAAAAATGTATAAATTTGTTAATGTATCACATTTGCATTTATACTTGCTCTAAAAAATGAGAAAGTTATATAAAGTAGAAAAGTATTGCTTTTTATGCAGTCTGTGTTGTTCAGTGTTCAGCTTCTTCAGTTTTCATGGATTATAAAATCTTTTAGGACAGAAGATAATCCTTACAAAACCATCATATAATGTTTCTAGCTTTAAAGGTAGATGTAATTTTAATAATAACATACCACATTTAAGGCTCTATTAGGCACAGCTCTGGTTGCCTTTGATTTATTCATCAATGTGAGGAATCTGAAATTTTCTGAAGTCTAATTTTGAAAAAAAATAAGTCATCTCTTTGCATTAAACCATCTGCTCTACATGATTATAGTGACTCATTTTTAGCATTGAGCTTCCCCTTTTGTGATTCATGTTCAACCAACTGAACTCTTCAAAAAGCATTTATTTCTAATAAAGTGCATCATTGTTAATAGAATGGTAATATAATTATAATCAATCCAGATTCTTATTGGATAGCACCTTCAAGAGCTCATGTAAATTTAGCATATCATTAATGCAAATTAATTTATTCATCACCAGAGAAGAATCTGAAGATGGTACTCACGCAGGTTTAATTGTATGAGCATGTTTTTCATGGACAAAGGCACCAGCAAGACCTCCCGCTCCTGAGTTTAAATACTGGATAGAAAAGAAATTAAAATGTATGAGCATATGATAAAAATGAACAATAAAATCACTTGACTTTTTTGTTATGAAACCAACTTTGACCAGCTCAAAATGTGAATATTTGAGCTTTTATAATAAAACATAATTTTACATTACCTAACTCAAAGAAAAAAAATAAACATAAGCATTATTAATTGAGACTAAATACCTATTACATTTTTGGCCAAATTTTGCATCAACTAAATAGGTAACAGTTCCAATGAAGTCTATCTAATTTTAAACCCTATTCATTTCAATTATTTTGTTACAAAAATATTTCCATAATAATAAAGCATCTATTTTTAAAACACCTACATTAAAATAAAATTAGTTTCATTTCCATAATCCCTGTCAATGAAATTGTCTTCAAATATCAATATCAAGTTGATTCCATAAGAATTATCTTTATGTATGTAGAAATGACACAGCATATCACCAAAACCTAAGAACCTAATCAATTTGAATTAAGTTCTAAGGGTGGAGATTTTTTCCTAAAATCTCATGATTTTTCTATAGTAGCCAGGCAAGTAAAGGAATTAGTACTCTATAGTGGATGGAAATACCCAATTTTAATTGTTTATTATACTATTCTATCACATGACTTTATAATTAACTAAAGTCAGAAAAAAACAGTAACAAAAGAAATGGAGGAAAGTAAATCAAATAGTTAAAACTGGCCACCAATCCAGTTATTCATTTAGATAACAATCAATGTGTAATAAAAGGATATGAACATATTAACTAATTTGTACCTTGTAGGAGCACCAGCAGGCAAAATCAACTCCCCAGTCATGTAAGCGGAGTTCGACATTTCCAACTGCATGTGCTAGATCAAAGCCAACAAAACAACCCTGGGGAAGAACATAATAACAAGTTTTGAATTTGCTTAATGATTAGAAATAATAAGTACAAATATCTCTAAAAAAATCTTTGACAAACTGCTGTACTATAAATATGGTTTATCCTTTGGTACAGTGGTTCACAACATGTAAACCACAAAACACTGGGCATTCCCAAGATCCTTCTAGGTCAAAATTGTTTTCAAAATATGAAGACATTTTTGCCTTCTTCACTGTGTTGACATTTGCAATGATACTTTAAAAACAGTTATGGGAAAACATAACATAATATGGGAAAAACAGTGCTGGCATATTAGCACAATCAAGGCAGTGGCACCAGATTATACTAGCAGTCACTGCATGCTGAAACCATTTAGTTGTAGGGGGAAATAAGAAGATAATTTTGCTTAAAAATCTCCTTGAAAGGGATGCCTGGGTGGCTTAGTTGGTAAAGTGTCTGACTCCTGAGGCTCAGGTTGTGATTTTTCAATCTTGAGATCGAGCCCCGTGTCGGGCTCTCCCTCTCTCTCTCTGCCTCTCCCCTGCTCATGCTCTCTCTCTCAAAATAAATAAACAGTAAAAAAACTCCTTGAGACATCTGTAAAAATGATAAAGTTAATTTTAAATCTCAATGCCTTAGTTCTCATATTTTTAGGGCTTAACATGAGAAGTATGCATAAAACATTTGACCACATTCTGAAGTAAGAGGGTTACCTCAAAGTAATGCACTTATGCAATTATTTGAGTTGCAAGCTGAACTAGCCACCTTTACTCCACAGAGAACAATTTTTTTTTAATGAAAAAGCAACTGAGAGACAAACAACAGTAATTCATACTTGGGCATTTGATAGACATTCTTTTGGAAATGAATGAAATGAGTGTCAAATCAAGGAAAACAAGTCATAGTATTTGCTGCCAATGAAAAAAGTTTCTAAGAGAAATTAGGATTTTGAAAACTTGTATCCACTTCTATGAATATGACCACTTCCCAATATTTAAGATATTTCTAACGAGTTTAGTAGTAACATGTGCTTTTTAAAATAATAAAATAAAATAATATAATAAAAATAATATAATAATAATGAAATATGTAGGTGTTTGGAAAATATGAACCAATATTTTTCAAACAACCAATGTTTGATATTACATATCAAGCATGGATAAAGACCTCTTCAAAGTACAAAACCATACAATGGATTTTAATGTAACCAAGCAGAGAAAGTTAGTAATTTGGTTTCACATTGCATACCACAACTTGTCAAATTCTGGTACAGTATCAAAGAATAGTCGTAACTAACTGAGAAAAGACTATTAAAATACTTTTGCTTTTTCCAACTATCTATCTGCATGAGGACTGATTTTCTTAATATGCTTCATGAAGGAAATAAAGCAAGAGATTGAATGCAGAAGCAGAGATAAAAAACTAGCTGTCTTCTATTAAGCCAAATTAAAGAGATTTGCCAAGTGTACAACATTCTTATTTTGTTTTAGAAAACATAGCTTTGGGGGCGCCTGGGTGGCGCAGTCGGTTAAGCGTCCGACTTCAGCCAGGTCACGATCTCGCGGTCCGTGAGTTCGAGCCCCGCGTCGGGCTCTGGGCTGATGGCTCAGAGCCTGGAGCCTGTTTCTGATTCTGTGTCTCCCTCTCTCTCTGCCCCTCCCCCGTTCATGCTCTGTCTCTCTCTGTCCCAAAAAAATAAATAAACGTTAAAAAAAAATTAAAAAAAAAAAAAAAAGAAAACATAGCTTTGTTTCCCTAACGGCATATTATTTATGTTAATATGTAATGTGTTTGGGATACCAGGGTGGCTCAGTCCATCGAGCAACTGGCTCTTTACTTGGCTCACATCATGATCCCAGGGTCATAGATCAGGTCCCATGTCAGGATACATGCTCAGCATGGAGAGATGCTTAGAATTCACTCTCTCTCTCTCTCTCTCTCTGCCTCTGCCCCTCTCCCCCCTCATGTTCTCTCTCTCTCTCTCTCTCTCAAATAAAAAAATTTAAAAAATATATGTAATCTATTTGTTATTATTACTCTAAAATAAATGAATGAATAAATGTGTTTAATTAAAATATAGTAAATATAGATATAAACACAATATCAAAACCTCTTTGAGGTCTTCAATGGTTTTTAAGAGTGTAAAATGTGTGCATTACTAAAAAGTTTGAGAGGCACCTGGGTGGCTCAGTCTATTGAGTGTCTGACTCTTGATTTCGGCTCAGGTCATGATCTCCTGGTTTGTGAGTTCAAGCTCTGCGTCAGGCTCTGTGCTAACAGCTTGGAGCTTGGAGCCTGCTTCAGATTCTGTGTCTCCCTCTTTCTCTGCCCCTCCACCTCTGCTTGCATGCTTGCTCTCTCTCTCTCAAAAATAAACATTTCAAAAATTTTTTAAAGTTTGAGAACCTCTGCTTTAGTATATCCTCTAACCTGATGGAGTTAATAGTAGTTTTCAGTTTGTCACTGAATCCCACATCATGCCCACATTTAATTTAATTAATTCAAGTATATATATGATATGATAAATTGCCTTAATGGCTTTCATTCTTTGTCCATCCTTGTATCCATCTTCTTTGCCATGTAATTTTTCAGTTCTTCTCACTGTGGGCAGAATGTAATTCTCTGCACTGGGATTAGACAAGTTACAGATTTTGACCAATGGAATGTTAGCACATGTAATACAAGGAGAGTCCAAAGCACTAGAGTGATTAGATTGGGCTTGTTTTCTCTTGTTCTCTGCCATCTCTGTAACAAGGACCTGCTTAGCCAACCTGCTGGCTCAGAGTCTTCCTCACCTGAGCTCAGCTTGGATCAGCTGCTCTCCCCACCTCTCCTTAGTAGGCCAAGAGATGCAAGAGTGAGTTCAGTTGAGATTTAGCAGGATCTCTATGACTAAGTAATGCCTAGATCAGTTGACACAAAGATGACCAATAGAAATGGTGCTGTTTTTATGACTCAACACTGTGTTCTCCCTATACATTTACTTGAGACCCTAATAGCCTCTTACTATTTGACTTTGCCTTGTTTACTTGTTTACATTGTCCAAGCGTTCTGTATGTCTGCCTAGCAGAATTCACTGTTTTAGAAACTAACCCTCTGTTTCTACTGAGTTCCCAGAAGGAAAATCTGAAGCAATGAATTATATTACCCAGACTGTACCCAAACAATAAGTTCATTTTAATGGCTTAACATCAAAACCTTTAACTTCCTATAAATCAAAATGTTAAAAGTTTTACTTTGAGAATATAGTGATTCTTTCCACATTAAGACAATATTGTATATAAACATGAATTTTAAAAAAATCCCTGATCATTAAATGGGGGTAATAGTTCACTCTGCAAAAATGTTTTACCTGTGAGTTTTTTTATTTTTAGCTTACTAAGTACATATATAACTATGTTTTCAAAACTTTAGATTTCCTGCAACTTTGAAGAAACACATCTATCTATAGAAATTATTGCAGTAAATAATTTCAGAGGGGCCAATTTTAGATTTTTCTAACACCTTTTAAAAATAACTAATGTTCAGGATCCTGGGTGGCTCAGTCGGTTAAGTGTCTGACTCTTGGTTTCAGCTGAGGTCATGATACCACAGTTCATGAGACTGAGTCCTGCGTCTGGCTCCCTGTTGACAGTGCAGAACCTGCTTGGGACTCTCTCTGTCCCTTTCTTTCTGCCCCTCTTCTGGTCTCTCTCTTTCTCAAAATAAATAAATTTTTTTTTTTAAAAAAAGAATAACTTCAAACTGCTATTACAGGTACTTTCCCTGAACAGAGGGATGCAAACTATGACCTGTTTTTGAAGGTAACCTTGTATTTGAACACAATTAGTTTCATTTGTTTATTCATTTATTTTTTTATTATTTTAAATGTTTATTTATTTTTGAGAGAGACAGCACGAGTTGGGGAGGAGCAGAGAGAGAAGGAGACACAGAATTCAAAGTAGGCTCCAGGTTCTGACCTGTGAGCACAGAGCCCGACACGAGGTTCAAACTCACAATGAGATGGTGACTTGAGCCAAAGTCAGATACTTAATCAACTGAGCCACCCAGATGCCCCTCAGTGTTTAAATTTTGTCTATGACTACTTTTGCAAGCAGAATTGAGTGGTTTCAACAGAAACCACATGGGTCACAAATCTCAAATATTTACTATCTTGCCCATTAAAGAAAAGATTTGCTGACCCCTAACATATAGAATTAGTTTCATAAAGAAAACTCAATATATTGAAGAGTCAATTAGCAACTTTACTGATTATAAAGTGGCCAGAACTGGTATCTCATAGAAGAAAAAGTTTTTTACCAGTATTATATATCTGATTTTGTTTTGTTTTGTTGTGGGGGAGGAGATGGATTTGTACTTTGTTTCTCTCAGAAAAAAAAAAAAGGCAATTCATGTCATAAATTTAGAGAATGATAGAAAAGAAACACAATTAATCTCTATCAAGATTTAAAGATGGTCAAAATCTGGGTTTGCAGACTAATGTTTAAATTCAGTACACACACACACACACACACACACACACACAGATTTTTTTGTTTGTATTTTAAGATACATTTTAATATTGAAATTAAATTTAGAAAAAAAAAAGGTTTGAACTTGACATCCTCTTTTTTCTTGCCAACATTTCTAATTAAAACCAGGGTTTTTTTTTCTCTTTTTTTGTGAAACAGTATTTACAACTCAGTTTTATATATATATATTTTTAAAACTCAACTTTTCTTCAAAAACTTAAGAAACAGGAAAGGCAGCATTTTTATTTTATTATCAATTATTTATAAAGAATGTCACAATGAAGAAACAATGAAACTTCACCTACCATATCCCATTATTAAAAGCCCTGTAGTCACATCTGTGGTACCACATTAAAAAAATCACTTGAGGCTCTTACAATATGTTTTAATGTATGTACAATTCTTTCCCCATGGATGGCAGAAACATAAATTATTAACATGTAACTGTTTTGAGGAAAGGACCAGAAGATACAAACTTGAATTAGACCACCAAAAAGTGA